AAAAATTTGTGGGGGGGGGGGGGGGTGGATATCTATGTGTTTTGGTTTCTTGTTGGCGCAATGTAAAGTCGTTATCGTGCGATAGATTTAATTAATTAATATTGGACAATAATGTGACAGAATATTTGCATCGTGTAAGGGAAAAATTAAGCAAGCAAATGAAAAAAAAAAAGAAAAAAAGTGCTTCTATTGAAAAACTTTTCTTGACTAGATAGTCAGTCGCGAATTGCCAGAAAGTGCAGAAGTAGGACCAAAGAATGAATTTTCAGCTATGCTGAATATCAGTAATCTATTGAAACTTGCGACATTCGCTTCTCTGTTGCTTAAAATAATGCTAATTTCGGATTTCATCGATATTACAATCTTGAGCCGGGATTAATTTGAGAACACTCGTTTCAATGGACCGAAATCTCAATGGAATTAGCAAAACTGTTGATTAAGAAAAAAAGAACTCGTTTAAGGTGTCGGATTTCTTTACAATGTGGCCGTTTACTGTCTATATTTTATCGAAGTAAGATTACGACAAGATAATGATAATTATTTTTATACATCTCTGTAAAAAGAAAGTTGACATTGTGGCTGAATACAGATAACATTAGAAAGAATACTGGCATTAATATGGTGGTGCATTTTTATAAGCAGTCTGATACAAGCGATTTGGCTGACTCTCCAGAAACTCTAAAATAATCAAGTAGACGTTGCTGAAGGTTATCGAGCATCCATTGTTTCTGGTATAATCGGATTCCCCTTGACCAGCGATCAATTTGTCGTTGCGAATTAATTCGACCTCTCCTGCCGGGTGAAGCTTACAGATAGGAAGGATGAGAAGGATCTATCAATTTAAAAGATTTTATTAATATAAGCTTTTCATATAGGTACACAAACGCATTGACACATGCGGTATATCCGTTAATCACAATTTTCATACCCGTCGATTTTGGGAGCCTTCACAGCATTACCGTACTGGTCAGAAAACGAAGCTCTCAATAGTTAAAATCGTTTCTCGCTTAAGATTCGGTCAATGAGAAGTCTAATATTTTAGTCCTACGACTCGTCCCACGGAGCTGCGAGGGACTTCCCTAAACTGTTCCACAAAAAAAATAAAGAGAGTTTATACTGTACAACCTGATTTGCGTAATAAAGTACCATATTCATATAAAATAGTTGAAAAAAATTGTGTATGCAGCTATTTCATAGGAATACAGTGCTTTGCTATGCGTATCAACTGCTCGGTGTAAACCAGGCCATTGGGAGGTGTTATGGTTCGAATTGAGTTCGCAGACGAGCGAGTTATTTATGTTAATGTATTAAAGGGTATCTCGCGTTCGAATTTGAAAATTTCAAGCGATAAACGATGTCCTACATCGCCATCCTCGGCTGTCGAGGCGCCAGAACCACGAATTTTTAATTTGAATTCTACAATCTAAGTCATGAGGACCGCTAGAAAAAAGACCAACAAAAATATAAATATAAAAATAGTAAATATATGCGTTATCTTCGCGTCAATATTGCAATCGCAGTCGTATTTAACGTAATCCCATTAACCACAGACGTATGTCCCCATCACCTTCCACTATCTCGCGTGGAAGCAACGTATAGAAGAATTTTTGGAGGAATTAGGATTCTGTGTAGATATCTTGGAATAACTCGAATTGTCACAACGATACCATATCGGATTTTTTACATGCACTTTCGGAATGCGGAGAATCAAAGGTATTCATACTTATGGAATAAAAGAATAGTTGAGTTACATGACAGCAGACTCGTTGTGCAGTTTGCGAGGTGCGTGAAACCCGTGAGATCAGTGAAATAGGCGATATGAGACCCTTTCTCAAGTCCAATGTAAACATAAATTAGAATCTTTTGCGCTTTTGTCCATTCACACGTGCTTCGTGATTTTATACATAAAACGTAAGGTGTCTCTTTATACGTAATGCAACGTAGAACGTATATAACGTAGAAACGGCCAGATTCTCCGTTCACTGGCCGAGATTGTGCTTGAGGTTGGTTCCTGATGATCGATCCCCGGAAAGGAAGAGAGTCATTCCATTTGGTTAGGGACCTGCTGCATTCTAATTTTTTGTTGTTGGAAATTTCAATAAAATGCATTTCGAATTATCCGGAATTCCCGAGGAGTCGAGGGCACCAAAGGGGCGAAAAGTAAACCTTTTCGCTCTGGTCTCCTTTCCTGGAGTTTCTCTATTTGGATTTATATTTTGTTTCGTCCGGAAAGGCTTCTCGTGGTGGAACGAGACTCAGCATCATGACGTGTCGAACGTACGCTCGCGAATTGCGAAATTGCGTATCTGTTCCATGAAGTCGGTCCAGAACGCCCAAAACACCGAAGCACTGGTTGAATCTGTAACGCAATGATACCTTTCATATTTTCTCTTGTGCAAAGGAGCTTATTGCAAAGCCGATCTTACTTTAGGTGGTGGAAGTCATGGGCTTCCGGAGAAGGGAAGAACGGCAAATGGTATCCAGAATGAGCGTTCAGGGTTGACAGGATGGCCAAGGAGAACCAAAGCCAGGCAGTAGCGACGTGCGAACCCACGATGAAAACACCAAGGAACGGTGGAATGAGATTTGAGCCAATGTGCTCGAGAGGATGGCAGTAGAGGGCGGTGACGGCGATTGGGGCTGTCCATTGGTGATGCTGCTTGTGAATGTGCTTGTAGAGATAGCGACTGTGCAGTAGTCTGGGGGGTTTCAATGAAAAATTATTATAATGACGGACATCCGAATCGAGGGGAATTTTTAGTTGGCAAATATCGGATTACCTGTGTGAATAATAAAATCCAATTTCCTCGCACAAAATATGAATGGCGATTTCGGCAAGTACCCAGTGGAAGGTTGGCAATTCCCGCACGGAAGGATAACCACGCCATTTCATGAAACGATAGCTGCAATACGCGAACGGCAGGCCCACAACTATCTGATTGAAGAGTACTTGGCCGATGACTTTGAAAAGGTCACGAGTGTCCACTGGTTCGTTGGTACCGGGTTGGATCTTATATCGGCGCAGGGCGGCTGGCCGATTTGTGATGTCTAGTATTGTGTAGATACCGCCGAAGGTCCAGTACACCACCAGCGTCAGTCCCATGGATCCTGCAAAAAGGCCAGGTGCATTAACAAAAGATTGGCCAAATCAATCGAACGAAATCGAATCTACCCACCGTAAACCCAGAGATTTACAGGATCGTCCCCAAAGGTGTCGAGAATTTTATCCCACTGCGCTTGCCAAAAATCACCTGATGCTCCCCAAAATCTCTGAAGATGCCTGAAAGTTGTTATTGGCGGCTAAGATTGCGCCACTCGACCAAAATTTGGGCTAACAATAAGAAGAATATTAGACAAACCATGTCAGGGAATTGCAGACAGCAGCGAATCCAATGACGACCGTGCCGATTACGAAAAGAACACTTCTCAAACTTGACAGGAGCGTGGGTGGTGTTTGATGTTTTCCAGTATCCTCCGAAGCTGGACTTGCCACAGCTGCTAAACAATCAATCAGTTGCGATATCGTATTAATCAATTATGGTAGTAGATATGGGGCAATGGTGTAAGCGAGCAGCATTTGATAATCATTTACTGGCTGTCCAAACGCAGCAGGAAATGAATCATCTTACAATTAAAGATATATTCGGAAGATCGACTCACGATCAGACAGCAGGCACGGTAGGACAGGGGGAGTCAGAAAAATGAGACAGGTGAAAGGACCTGCTACAATATTGGAGAATCTGCACGTTCAGGAGTGTTATTGAGAAAAGACAATACTGCATAACGGTGCAGTTCGTTTTCTGCGACTGTCCAATAAATTATTCTAGTTTTATTTTCTATCCGGCACATCGGATAAGCCGATGCTCTCAGTGATATCGGCTGATTGTCAGGGAATCATCGTCAAACTGGACATTCTTCTCTTGCGCAACTCTGAGTGCGTCTCAAGTTCCTTGGAAGATCCCGTGTGAACCTCCGTTAGCTTAAATTGTCACATGAATTTGTCCCGCGAACCCGTTACAGCTAAGGGAGTAGGGGAACACCTGCAGAACGGACACTGCGAGAAAATTGAGGTCATCCGAAGAGACCGAGGAGGCGCCGTTAAGGTCGGTTGCCTCGGTTCTTTGGATATTGAGATACCGATTCATTTCGTCTCGATCTGTTGTAACTCGTTGGTAGACATCTACCCATCGCTACCTTATAATATTGAATGCGTATCTTAAATCGACGATTTCAACGATGAAGTTCAATGCAAATAAATTGTTTAACGAACTAAAACGACAAATATGTATACATACAATAAATAATCATGTAGAACAATCGACACGACTGAAGAGTCGAAAACTCACTTTTCCCGGTGGTGCTCGGCCCCGCTTTCCCCGGAACTTTCTTGTTTCTCTTTCGGTACATAATTCGTGGTTTTATAAAATTTCCAATATTTGAGGGTATACGTATATAGTAATACGCGCAGTAGGTAGCACAAAGATAATTTTGCGCACTGAAAGCCCGAGTTCGCCGTAGACTCGCGTTGTCCACCGATTCACATTGTGGAATGAAATCTGATGAAGAGGGGGGGCCCAGTGGCACCGAACGGCTCCCCCCCCCCCCCCCCCCCC